CAAAAGCTTTTAAATTGATTGAAAGCGAACACGTGCTTTTTCTCTCTGACGTTATTTTTCCTTCTTTTATTTTTGTCGAAAGCTTCCGCGTTTTTATATATTTGTTTGTAATATAATATTTACCGGTAACGATATGAAAACAGACGACGTAAAAATGTATGCGCTTGTAATACAATACTGCTTTTAAATTTTTATTTTACCGCCTTCAGTATTTTAATGAATAGAATATGCATGTTTACATTAACGCGCCGAATCATTAAATCTGATCTGAAAGAAAATCAATAAAAAAATAGTGTTTGCTCTCCAATTAATTCAAGAAAATCGTATTCTTTACATAAAAGTATCAGAACTTTTTAATTGATGCATTAATTGAAAAAAAAAAATGTATTGTAAGACAATTTTAAGAATTTCTTAAGTTAGTAAAAAAAACGCAAAGGAATCATATATTTTTATTTCATTTTCTGAAAATATACTTTTAATGGAAATAATATGCTTTCATTACTTTTTAAATATTTAAATCTGTCAATATACAAGACTGTTTAAAACCGGACTAATAGAAGACTTTAAATAGCATATAAATAAACTGTTTGTTTTCAAATTTCCAATTTGGACTAAGTGAAACTGATTGGAACCGGACTATTCGAGGTATTACTGCATTTTATTTGGAAAGCGCGACAAAAAGCTGTCAAATTATTGAACAAGTTTTTACAAGTTTTTATGTATCATTTATTATTTTTATTATATTCAAAATATAGATACACTTCCCTAGTATTTTTTTTTTAATCAACTTGAGACAACTTATTACCTACTTTTTAAGTTTTTAATGAAAAATTTTCAATGGAAATTAAAATAAATCATTTTAAATAACATTAAGACATATACGGTTGTGAATACATCATGAAAAGTTTATCACTGTTCATTTCGACTTACAAACTATTTCAATGTTTCAGATACGTTCTAAACCACATAACTGTATTCTATACTACCGCACTAGTTTGAGAATGCTTTTGTAAGTAACTAGTATATTATCAAAGGATAGTTTTGTCTTTCATCCTAGTAACCGATACAATATAGTTTTAATTCCCAAATACTTTAGTTTAGATATAATTAATATACATAATAAAGTGCTTTATAATATTAGATAGCTTCTTAGTTAAATTACGTAATCGCAATACCTCGTATAGTCCGGGTAATCGTGTAATCGAGAATCTCAATACAGAAAACTACCATATAACAAGTTCCTACAACGACCTAAAAATATTAGGACGAATTTTAATATAACACGAATTATTGTCATAATCATCCCAAACATATTATTCATATTATCCATGTAATACGAGAAAATTCCCTATACGCGATATCATACAAAACGTTACACGTTTAACAGGAGGAGATTTTACTGAAGAAAATAAAAAACCATTACTATAATTTCGTATTTTGTATTTTTATTGTTAGAATAAATGTTATTATTATTTGTTTATTGATATTAAAATAGACTGAAATGTTCAATTTAAAAAATTGAGGAAATTTAATTTAGAATTGTATAATATTGAATCAAACTGTATGTCAGTATCATAGAGCGAATTGGATAGATTTATTATATAAACGTCATATCCAACTCACACGGGAACCACCATATATTGTAAATTAGGTTACAATTTGCGCAGGCTCTCAAATCCTAACTGACAAAAATTCATATATGGGCAGAATATTAAAACTAAAATATTATAATATGTTTGCATTTTATTATATAATATATTAGAAGTATTGAAACTGTTAAACAAACTAATCATAACCTAGGCGGAAAGACTTAGGTGGATAGACCTTTGGTTGCATTGTAACTAATAAATATTATTATTAATCCTGACCAAATAAAAAAAAACTGTTAAAAAAGGCTATTAATAACGGAATTTTCTGTCTAATGCTAAAATATTAATAACTAACAAATATATAAATAATTCCAAACAAAAAAAATGTATTTGAATTGCAACGGATTTTTCACAGTCATACAGTTTTTTAATATTAGCTATAGTATTAATGAAGATTACGTACAAACTATAACTTTGCAAGTATATTAAATTATATATTTAAGTCATAATTCATAAGTATTTTTTGATAAACATATTTTATTACCATATCAGAGATTAATAAAATTGTGCATATAATCAAGAGAACTGTAAAAAATACAATTCAATCGTGGTTATAAACCCACTATGGCAAAATGTAATTGAGTTTTATGAGGTTTCTTTCAGATGATAATATAATATAAATACATCACAACAAAATTGCGAAATAAGGATTCTGTAATATTGAAAACAGATCGAACACATTTCTAGCACATTTACGATTATTTATTACGAGAATCGGAAATACGGAATTTCCGGCACTAAACGATTTTATATTAAAAATGCAAGTATATTATTCTAGCATTGAAACCAGAAGTTTTTATCGGAGGATACAAACGGAAATAGCGTGCATCCAAAACAAAAAGGAAGTCGTTACACTCGAAATAAAGTGTCGCATCGGAAAATATAAAAATCGCACGAAAACGTCGTCTAAAGAAATTTTTACGGTCCTGCATTAATATAATGTGTATCTATATAATACATGTTATCCTTCTAAATAATTCATAGAATCCTTGGCCTAAAAGAAGACGAAGAAAGAAATGAACATAAATAAATAAAATACAAATATAAAAAAACTTGCTTGTTTTTTCCGCTTCTAGCGGAGCCGAGAAAATGCTGCCACTTAGTCCGGATATCTCTTTACGTCGTCCTGGGTTTTGCAAAAATGTAGGTGCAAAACGAGGAGGAAAAATAAAATACAGATAATTAACTAAACGCTAAAGCAGAGAAAGAGGAAGGAAGAAAAAGACTTGGAGTAACGACGAAGTTTCATTAACTTAATTGTAATTCGCTGCGATTTATTATGTCACGTAAAAGAATACTTTTCACAAGGATTAGCGAGTCCTCATCTGCACTTTTTTTCGTCCTTGTTCCGATTCTAACACTTCCTCGATATGCATATGCAAAACGTGAGACTTTTGCTGGAGGCTCATTTACGTTACGTTCCTCTTCTTTGTTGCAAACAAAAAGACATCGAATGGGACAGAGTATTTTTATACATATGCATGTTTGTTCTATAAATTTCGAGAAATGCTGTATTATGGTAGCAACTTGGGCGACAAAGAACTAAATTAAATGGATTAAGTTAAGTTCTGTGATATAAATCTGCATTTACGTAATGGTGCATTCTTAATTTTTAGGGGCTCGTGAATAATGTCACAGGGTTGATGGATGATATAGAACTATGGCGCATGATGCGCATGGTGATTCTTTATCCAATCGCTCGCAAATTGAATATTCGATGGTCGCATTTATTATGAAGTCTGCCGAAGCACGGACGTGGATCTGTTAAAATATTAAAGTTTGCAACATGCAGTGCTTGGGACAATCAGGAATTGAATTTTGTATAGGGCTGTGAAAATTCGAATTGCGCAACGAAAAACGACTGATAAGAATAAGCAAATAGCACAAATCCGCAATCAGTGCATGATTTATGATTCGGTATTTTCAGATACAATGAAATGCTAGAAAATGAATACAATTTTAATATTGACAGGTTACAGCATTTATCAATTCTCTTAGGTATACACACAGTTAGCGTTCATTTAACATATTTTACATAACATGTACAAGATTATTTAAAATCAGAACTATATACAACGCAGGAACGTACATTAATGTCAGTCTAATCAGACTAATTTATCTCATATTAAGTTGATATTTATTTTTGTCCAAAACATGTTTTATTAAGCCGTACAAAACCAGATTTTAATAGATAAAAAAATGAATACATACACTTATTTTATTACTCAAATTATCGTTTTCTTTTTCGTAGACAGTAAAGTCTCTTTCATCGATTACTATTATCTCGTATAATACTTCATAGTCTTGATATAAATTGAATATATTGTATAATCTACGTTAAAAACCGTGTAAATAAATATTTTAAAATATATTCACTGTTTGATAAACATTCGCTTAGCATACAATAATTGTGTACTGGAAAATGAGCTGAAATTTTAATATTATAGAAGTTAAGAACTAAATATTCAATTTCTAATACAGTTAAATACACATTTTTACGTACGTAAAGATGATACTACAAATGTTTGTATCATTAATCGATAAAATAATAATATTAATATTTACACGGGCAGAATGTTTTTATACATGCATTTTATGACCATTACGGCATGTAATACTAATGCTCTGAGTATTTGTTGTTCGGTACAAACATTTGCAGCAAAAAATTGAAAGCTTTTGGTTTAATTTTTACTTTATTTTTCAACTTGTTTACACGTTTATTTTATGGCGTAAAACGCATATTGAAATAAAAATCAATATATTCTTTTTAATGGAACCCTGCATTTACATAAAATGTACCCTGTTGAATAAAACTTTAATTATTGTATTATATTACTACACAAATATTCTAAATTTTAGATTATAGAAGTATCATATATTTTTATGTTAACTTTTTAAAATATAAAAATCTTATAAGTTCGAATTTTTTTAATATTTAACAGAATTTTAATATTTTTTATCTAATAAAAAATTAAAACAACAACAAATATTTTTTTCTAATCAATAAAGTATTGAAATATTTTGTTTCTATAAAATAATTGATATTCATTAAAAAAGCAGAGAAAATAATATTTAAAACTTTCAATTTTCTTTAATCGAATTAACACTAAAAAAATATGATTAATGTATAAACTGTATATGTAATAATTATTAATAATTGTTATTATCTATATTATTAATTTAAAAAAACGAAAAATTTGTTTATACAAACCGGTAAAAAAATATCAATCAAACATGAATGATATTTGATCAAGTCTGGGAAAGTATATGAAATTATAGGTATTGAATATATTAATGGTAGCATTGCGTGACTGTAGTAAATATATACGAACAATTATAGGAAGTACTTACCACAACCAAGTTCCACATTTTGGCAGCCTCGGCGACTGTCGTACAGACTGTGCTGCATCCTGCTAGCAGCATCAGCTTCTGGGGTTGATTGTATAGAAGATTGTACATGACACTTGCACCCAAGCCTGGCTCGCACTAAAACACACGGAAGGACCCACATTAATTAATATAGAGTCAGCTGGAATTCGTAGAAATTGGATGTAATTGCATGTGAAATTCGTTGGAAACGAGTGCACCTAAAAAGTAATTCAATTATCTTCAGACCAACTACACATTTAATTTTTCTTTATACATTTTTTTATAATATGCGAAGGAATGGTTTCCAAATTTTTACCCGTTGGATCATTACCATATATGGAATTTATACAACAATTTTTCGGTTAATAAAAGTAGATTATTTTTGTAAATTTTTAAAACGATTAAACCGGTTTTTAAATATACAAAAATCGGTTTTACATAGTATAAGTAATATGTTAAAGTAATTAATAATACAAAAGGCTATTGACGTAAATCTAAAGTAATTATTTAATTAATTAAAATTTCAATTTGTACTGGCAATACCTTAAATTGTAATTAGTTTTTTCGTATTTTTTTAACCAATTAATATTTTGTGGTCTAAACCAGACAAATCTTCTCTATATACACACACACACACACACACACACACAGAGAGATGTGTAAAATCACACATGTAAGTTTATACGTGTATATGTATATACACAGTCATCGATTTCAAATAAACATCGTCGAACATGGGGACGTTAATTGGACTGCTGTCTATTCAAACTCGCATTAGTTTTGTTTGTATTAGGATAGCGGATAGCGCAAATACATTATGAATCGAAGCTGCGGTTACACTCGGAGCTTTGCATGATTTCCAGAGATGTACAATAGTAGCTTTCATAAATTAAGTCATTCAGATTATATTTAACAATGCTGTTGTTTCTATATGAATTATAGAAACGTACTTATTTTGTAAACCCACAAACAATAGTCGCAAAACGCATTACATACAGTATAAAGTATAATTCACTATGATAATTAATTATACTGAAACAGCATCTATATTAAAACAAGAATTAGTATATTTTCATTTTATCTATACCATTTAAATAATATTACGGTATTATGATAAACGAAATACAGTCATACCTCGGTTAACGTTACTTTGTATAACCTAGTTTCGATATAACAAAGTCCCTAATTTCAAGACTTAATAAGTTATTTACTCATTTTTGTCCTGAAGTAACACTGTATTTTATTAATGAAAAACTCTTTTATTGTTAGACAAACATACTGATCTTAGCACGTTGGGCATTTGTATTCCTGTCAAAGTTTTGTTTTTTTCTGCAAACACAATTTTCCTGATTTAAGCATTGAACAAGCAAGTAAAAGCAGCGTATAAAGCTTATTTCGAACATAAAGCAATTTAATTATACCACGAGATAAACCGGAAATTGATAGTTAAATTTTGTTGGTAATTAAATACGCAATTAAAAACATTGATTGTTCTTGTAAAGAAGTAACTAAACATGTTTAAATGCTCAGATGACCAGAAGTTAAACTTGAAGATCCAATAAACTATAAATGCAGTTATTCATATGGTTCAATGAATAGGTCAAAAATGACGATTCTATACTTTTTTAACATCATCTTGTTAAAAAAGTATTGAATACAGAAGATGATGAAGACGAAATTAAAGAAGATTTTGCTAATAAAATAGTAAAAAGTACATTTTTAGTGAAAATTATCCTGATTTAGAAATTAATGTCATTGTTAAGCAATAATTAAATGAAAGAATAAAGAGGAACAAACAATCTACTTTAATTTACAATGTAATTTACTTTGTATGTAAGTTGACTGTATATAATATTTACTTGTTCACATTGATGAACAGATTGTGAATAAAATTATACGACATAATAATACATTATACACATATACATTATTTTGAGTGATAAAATGCATTTTTTAAATTAATTATTTTTGAATGTCCACGAAAATTATCTACAAAACAAATTATTTTGTAACAGTTAAATATAACTATATTGAAGTATATATTTATAACAAAACTATCGTTGATCTGCAACTGAGAACCTAAATTTAGATATTATATAACCCTTTGTATATAAGCTCAACATATTTTTAGACGAATTTCTCTCTGATTCTAGTATATACAGTGTAATATGTTTTTAGATTATGGAGATCTTTATCCCAAATTACTTGGCGCATCCAACGCACGTTCAAACGAGCCGTGCAGCGTAATAATCGTTATCTTTGGATGCCCGCCACACATTTTAAACCGCACTACTTCCTCTTTTCCTTTCTATACTTCCCTTTATCCTCTCACCCCATATCTCTGTCACCATCGCATAAACCCTTATCCACGTCAGACTGTAGCCCCTTCTAAATTACAAAACAGCGCGTGCTTGAAAAAGAAACTAGCATTATTTCCTGGTGACCTATGCTGGCTGCTGTAATTACTATGCCAACTATACAATTTCTACTTAGCCGTATTTTTAATTAGAAACGTAAGAAAATATATTTATTTGGGGCATAAATGCCTATGGTCAACAATCCTTTGTTACAGTTAATTATTTTTTTCTTTTGTGGGTCTTTTACAATACGTGTTCTTTTATTTATTTGTAATTAAAATATGAATTACATTTTTATATTATTAACTTTATACAGATTTTGATGCTGCAATTTATGACGTAATATTAATATGTGCATTCAATTTTAGATGGACTTAAAAATGTTAAATAAAATATGTTCGCAAATATCTATATTAAACTTTTATAAAGCTTTGAAAATTATAGTTGTACACAATAAAAAAAAAACATGAAATTCAATTTAATACTTTTGTAAGATGTATTTAAACTCTCACGACTTGGATATACATTATTTTATAACTTAAAGAAAAAAATATATTTGAAATTATTTATAAGATAATTTATATTTTTATATATTTTAGCGATAATAATTTAATATTTTATTTTGTAACCCGATAATTTTGTAAGATAAATGCTTAATTTTATACCTATTATAATAATTGACTGTAAAAAAATATCATCTTAATTTCCTTGCATAGTCCGGGTAATCGGACTGTTTGAAACTGTACAAATAAACTGTACCAAAAGAAATTTAAATTTAGTTTGTTTTGAAATTTTCAAAGGGGACTATTGTAAATCCTGATAGATTAAAGCCGGACTATGCGAGGTATTGTTATTTTTCTAATTTATTTCCATTAATTATCATCTTAATTTCCTGGCATAGTACGAATAATCGAAATGATTGAAACTAGGACTAATCGGGGTAGTAAATATATACAAAAATAAACCGCACAAAAAGAAACTTAACTTAGTTTATTTTTAAATTTTCAAATCGGACTATTGTACATTCTGACTATGTGAGGTATTATTTTTTTGTAATTTATTTCCATTAATTACGGCCCTGATAATAAAATAGGACAAATCGATAATGGCAGCAATTGTAGATTAAACGAAATTAAAATGTTCTTCTAGCAATTACACTACTGTACGATCATTATTTTAGATTGTACATCGATGCCGGCATGTAGTTATTATCAACGTTAGTGGGGAACGTAATCAGTAATAGCAATCACACTTGAAGAACCATGTCTACCTATCCTTTCACCAAATACTAATTGAACGATTTGAAGAGCTCGCGTGATTACATCCCATTCTGTCCAAAAACACAAAGCGAGTGATGATGATAATATACCTCGATATATTGCACGAGCTGAAAACTTGTAAATGTGCTAATCTATTGCGCCCCATTTCCCACTAACAGTCCCATTGATTTCTTTCTGCTCCATCATGCTGAACGTTTCGCATCTGCTAAATAAAAATGACGTTCATTTACTTCCAAATTCAACTTTTCACTTCAACTACTCTTTACAAAATTGAATATATTTCTGAGATATGTAATATATTTTTAGGAAGTTGAGACATATCGAACTATCAGGCGCACCCAATATTTATATACCAAAATTGTATATAAAAAATCTATATTTCTTCTTATGTTATCCGTAATTTTGCATCTATCCCAAATTTATAAAATAATAATAATCCTTATTGCAATAAAAAAAAATAATAAATAAAAAAATATTATTATATAAAAATAACATAACACGCATAGGAGAGTTTTACTATAAAACTGACCACTGATTTAAGAGATAATTTAATAATAGTATAGAATCTGTGGATTCTTAAGGAAGCACAATAAAAAAATACATGAAATTCTTATTACTTTTGTATTTCATTTCAAATATTGTATAAAATAATAAACGTATGTTTTATATTTTTGAATTCGTAAAGAAATTAAAAGACATTATTTTTATACTAGGCGGAAAGACCTGTGTGTAGCAGTTATAATGGATCAATCAATATATATTTATTTTTGTGTACTTTTACATGACTATAGCAATTGACGTTATGGTTATATAGAAATTATTAAGAATAATAAACAAAATGTATTGTATATATACATTGAAATTATTATTTATTTTTACAAAATGAACCAATAACCTTTTCGAATAAGGGTCGAAAACCGGATTCCCGGCTATCAAAAATACCGGAATACTGGACTTTTAACATCAAAACCGGTATTTTCGAAAGTTTCAATATTTAACTTTCTTCTTTTTTAGTTTCCATGACGTATTTAAAGCAAAACATGTCAATATTTTTTTGATTTAACCCCTCACACTACCGCAACCGACGAACTATATCTGTGTTCTGTGATTCATTTGTAAAGAAGCATCCATTGTGATTAGTTTAATTGGAAGTAGAGACGTGAGTCGCGACTTGAAATTAAAATTAGATTTTTTCTAAATATTTTTATATCATTGATATCGAAAATATCGGTATTAGTAAAACCCCTAATTTTTGCCAAAGTAGAAAATTCCGGACTTGACAAAATTATCGTTATAATTTATCTTAATTGAGTAATCATACTTTAAATATGTATGTATTATTGTATAATTATTATTTAAGAATAGCAAAATCAAATTAATTATCATTGAAAATTGTATAAATTACTAAAGATAAATATTTATGAAATTACACAATTAAGGATTGATATACATTCAAAAAAATCTTTCTTTATAATATTGG